GCACCCCTTGCCACAAACCACCGAAGGAGAAAATAACACCCACTACAGCGGTACTATACATAAGTAAGCAATGAGCTATTACGCCACAGAAAAGCACTACACACACCAGTTATAGGCCTGGTTAATAACTCGATTTTCTCCAATTAAACGAAAGAATTTTCTTTACGATTCAATATCTCCCCGCGTTCTTTCAACCTCGGCAGATAGCATGCCAGGTCGATAAAGACAAATACTGACACACATGAGAGAAAACATGCACACAAGGCAAACGAAACCGACACACCAGCACTATACTACCAGACAACCAGCAAAAAACGTTAATACTACTACCCATCTGTAATACACCTACACCGTGCAATCCCACGCGGTCATAAGGCACATTAGCCTGATACAACCCTGCAAGCAGCCTGCGAACAAGGACTCTCGTTCCTTCCCTTCCCCCTCCCCCCCGCATAGAATCCTACTGCTACACACACCCTCATGCATGATTCGCCCTCATCTACAGCCACAATCACCTACCATTTATTTATTTTCTTAAAAAAACAACTACGGACGAAAAATGGCGCCAACCATATACACACCTTCTCGAAATGACTCTACTGATGCACGCACAAGAAAACAAACGCACGAGGGAAACGAACCTGATACGCCATAGGATACTGCGCGCCCGCCACCTGCTTGGGCTCATAACGCTTGCGCCTTACCTACTCACAAAGTCACTAGGCACATGCCTTCCGCAACCCTGCCATTAATCTGCAAAAAAAAACCTCTTTTTTTACCTCTGGTATATTCTCTCTCCCCCTAATACAAACTTATCACACATGCTCCCCGACAATGCAGCTAATATCCCCACAACCCCCACTTATCCCTACCCATTTACTTACTCCCTTACCACAAACCGCAACATGACGGGCCACGCTGCACACCCATGGCATGTGCACTATCACCCTCCCGTGCGTTACAAGCTGATACATGCATATACCAGCAGTGCTATAAATATTGGATGGTATGTGCTACAACACAGCAATGCTTGTATACATGCTCCCGCATCCTGCCGACATCTCCCTTCTCCTTCCGCGCTCGAGTAAGGCTGCTCGCGAAGCTGATCCTGCTACCTTGGTTGGGACAGGCGCACCTCTGTGCCCCGGGCGCTCTGCTCACTTTGTAAGCTATCTGATACTACGCTGCGTGGCCACTTTCGCGCTATGGCGGCGGCTGATCTCCCAGCGACCCTGGCCATGACCACTCAGGTATGGATTGGCTAACAGTAATCCCCCCTTAAAAGTTTTTTGCCATGTTAAAAAAAATCCCCCACCCCCTACCCATGTACTAACAGGAGCACTTTTAACCCCTCTGATGAGCTGCTATGGGTGCTAGGCGGCGAAAAGCGCGCTGAAGGGCGTTCACCCGCCCTATGGTTGGGTCCTCAAACCCTCTCCTAAACCCTACTAACCTGACTAACGCTAATCCTGACTGCTCCATAAAACTTTCACATTGTTGTGTGAAAACCGTGTGTGACCAAAAGGACTAACTGGCTATGTCTACTGTCCCAATTCTTGGGATAGTTGTGTATTTACACAACCCCCCCCCCCCCCCCCCCCCGGCC